CTGAAGTTCCTCGGGAAGAATTTATACCGGAAATTAACAAACGACCAGATACAAAATAGATAGAATTTAATTTTTTAATTTCATTATGCTATTTGGCAAATACACGTGGCCCAGAAAACCATCAAAGATGCCTTGTGCTAGTTGGCTTTAATCTCTATAACAGATAATATCTACAATACCCAAAGAAATGTTGTGGTATATTTGTGATACATCCATGTTGAAATGGCCAACAGCTACAACATCCTTTGCTGTATGTTACAGCAACAACTGCTGTGGGAGAGTGACCTGTTACAAGAAAATACAATCACAACACTAAAGAACATAGGTTCCCTATATAAGTACCAAAACCTTAATTCTACACTGTTCTACTTCGTTATTATCGTGCTTTGTTTGACAGAGACCTGTTCTGATAGAAAGAGATCTGCCAATTCGAACGTTGATTCAGTATAGGCAATGTATACTCTTCTACATAAATACGCCCACTGTTTCTTGCTTTGTGTTATAATAAAAATTGTTTTACAGTTAATATCATACGTGTCCAGTTTAGTTATTTCATACTTTTTAGAATTTATTCGTTTTGAAATTCTACTAAAATTTCCTGTTTGATCTTGTTGTTATTGAACAGACCTCTCAAGTTTCACAAGTTGTTTACTACAGCAACAATCTGCACCGAAACTAAACTTGAAGAAAATAGAGATTTCGAAAAATGTATATATCAACTAAGGGCAAAAATATTGTTGCGTCAGCGAGGTCATGTGACTAGTATCACGCCACTTCTTTCTCGAACCTTCCTGAGATTACTAGATTGGGGTAGTCTGGTATATATAAGATGGTGACAACGTGACGGAACAATGTGTGTAGGTAGTGAGTAATTGATCTGCAGTCAGAGAGTATTGTTGAAGTTAACGTTCGTTGTTATAGCGTTTGTTTTAGCGTGAATGTTGAAATTAAGTCAGTGGTGGGATTCAGCCGGTCCGTGCGAACCTGTTCTTAGAATTTAATGACCTCCACGAACCGGTTGTTAACAATCGTATATATAGGCCTAATAATAACATTACAACTTAC